CCAAGGGTGGGACTGATCTGGGTTCTGCTGGATTCCTGGCTAGGGAGGGACTGCTGGGCAGAAGCTAGGAGGTGAGCAGCACCAGTCCTGAGCTCACAAGGCCAAGCAGGCGCCAGGTTGCCACCCCCTCCACCTGAGCTCAGTGTCCTGTTCTGTGAAATGGCTGAGTCAGCCCTTGATCCCACCCTGATAGTGTACTTGTTGTGTCCGGGGAGACTGGGGAAGAGAGTGCCAGCTAAGTTTGTGTCCAACCACGGTGTGACTGCTGCTAGGATGGGAGCACAGTAGGGGACAGACAGGGAGAGGGAGGAAACAGCTTAGGTAGGAGTCATCAGTCGGTCTGGGAGTGCAACAGGAAGAAAGCTTGAGGCAGGTAGAAGTGGGGCCTAGCCTGTGACAAGGGAGCTTGGAGGTCTGTGTTGAGAGGGAGGGGCAGGAGCTGATAGGGGAGCAGCTTGTGCAGAGCTTAGTGGGCCTGGGAAGGTCTGAGCCTGAGAGAAACACTACCCGTCCCCCCACCCCCCCAGGCCCTAATCAGCTTGCTGAGGGACAGAAAGTGGATCTGATCCAGTATGACCTCTAACTTCAGGCTCTGAGATTTGGGGAATGAGGATGATGAGGAAGGGGTCTCCATCCTGTCAGAAACCAGGCTACTCAGTTGCTGGTGAGGGCTCACCCTTTCTTGCCGTGTCTGCTCTCCTTCCCTAGAAGGCCTGCAGTTGTTGGTTCACAAGCTGTCCCCACCCTCTTCACTCTGGGTGAAGCCAAGGTCTCTCTCCAGAAGAAGGTAAACAAGCCTGCCATTGTGCTACCTCTTCCCTGGCCCCACCCAGGAACCCTTTCATCCTACTACAGGCTGGAGGGGGAGAAGCCTTCACAACGATCCTGTCTCTAGTCTTGTGAACAGGGGACCAAACCACTGCCCAGAGAGGGCATGATACAGCCAGCAGAGACATTTGACCCAAGAGCCCATATACCTTCTGTCTCCTCAACACACTGGATTATCGCTGCTGCTTGAGAGTCTGTCTGTGTTCAGGCTGCTGTTTACCTGACCAAGCGCAGCTCTGACCTGTTACAGGGCCTCTGAGGCTGAGCTGGCAGGAGTGGGAAGGAAGAATGGGCTCAAGCTCTAGCCTCTGACCATTGGTAGGTGGGCAGTTCCCTAGGGAAGGGTTTCCTGGCAGAAAGAACAATTCCTGAGAAGGTCAAGGGTTCTGAGGGCCACTGGGGGACCTAGATAGTCTGGATGGAGACCAGGACTGGATTGGCAGCTATGAGTGGACACAACACTTTTGTAGAGAAGCATTTTGGAGGTCTGTGTTTAGAAATGAATGTGGGGTTGAGGGGTTGGGTTGTGGCTCAGTCAGAGGGCTGGCCTAGCATCCACAAAACCTTGGGATTCATCAATCTGTAATCCCAGCACTTGGGAAGTAGAGACAAGACAATCAAGAGTTCAAGGCAAGCATGGGCTACAAGAGTCCCTGTGCCAAAAGAGAAAAAAGAAAGGAAGGAAACAGAAGGGAAACAGCTCCATTTGGCAGTGAGAAATGATGTCACCCTTTATACTAAACTGACCATGTGTTATTACTGTACCAGGCCTAGAGACACAGAAGAGTGGAACCTGGCCTGGGGAACTGATACCTGTGCTTAGATATGGAGGTGTGGGTGGCTTTGAGCTGGAGTCTTCCCATCCCCATATATTCTGTTGACATCCCCCACGGTTGGCAGAGTTTTACTGACCAGGAAACCCAGACCTGAGAGTGAACCCAAGTCACATAGCACAGAACTAGCTAAGTGAGAAACTGGGATGCTAGGGCAGCCAGAGCACACAGGAAATGTCATAGCAACAGCAGAGAAAAGGACTCATGCGGTGGGAGGCGGGTGGCCTGGGGAAGGAAGGACTGGATGAAGCTAGAGGTGTCCATCGCCAGCTGTGGACAGTTGGCCTTGTGGAAGAGCTGCTTAGAGGCCTGCTGGGTGTGTTCTGCTGCTCTGTCCAGGGAACACTTTTCTTTTCTTAAGATTATTTTGTTTATGTGTATGTGTGTTTTGCTGGCATGTGTGTTTGTGTACTGACGACCAATATGCCTGGTGCTTAAGGTCAGAGAGGGTGTCGGATCCCCTGAGACTGGAGTTAGAAATGGTTGTGAGCAACCATGTGGGTGCTGGGAATTGAATCAGGGTCCTCTGGAAGAGCAGCCAGTGCCTTTAGAAACTGAGCAAATTACTCCAACTCCAGAAAGCAGGAAGAAAAATCTAAAGCACATTTATTTCCTTATTTCCTTATTTATTTTGTGTGTGGGGCAGTGGTGGTGGTACACTTGGCATGGCATGCAAGTGGAGGCCAGAGGAGGCCTTCCAGAGTCAGTTCTGACCTTTCACCATGTGAAGCCCAGGAATCAAACTCAGGTCTTCAGATTTTACAGAAGATACCTTTACCTATTTGACTGTGTCACTGGCCTGTGGAAATCATCTTGAGCAGACCTTTCTAGACCAAACCCCTGAGGGGTTGGGGGCTCAGATGCTGTGCACTCAGTTCCAGGGCTCATGGAAGCAGCATTATATTAGTTCTGGGCTGCTAGCTCCTGGTCTGGCCTGTAACATGACTGGCCATCTCCTGCTTAGCCTCTTCCTCCTTGGGCTCTGCCTTCTTTGTTGTCCTCCCTATCGGCCACTTTTCTTATGAGAACTAGAGCTTGTCCAGGATATCCCACATATCATTTGAAACTTCTGTGTCCCTTGTCTGGGACAGAGGCTGATGTCTGGAGTATCAGCATTGTCCTCAGTGTGTCTTATCACCTCAGATGCCCCCACTGTAAAGCCCTGGAGTACATACCAGTGGTTACTGTTCCTGGAGGCAGAGGGTGTTCCTCAGTGATCCCCACTGAGAGGCTGCATTGTGGGATAGGGGCTGAGATTCTGGGAGGTGGAGGTCAGCATCTTCAGGTGGACCTCATGTGGTTCAGTCTTAAGTTGCTGGCTTTGCTGATGCATTGCAGCCTTAGGCAGGACCCAGTCTGAGTCCCTCAGTTTTGTGAGATGGGGGAATTGATCTTATCATAGTTAAATTGGTGAATCCATGCAAAGTGCTCTTGCTCTCTTCCTCACTTGTCACACCATAGTGGCTGTTCTACAGTACCTATGGATGTGTTTAACTACATTAATGAATTGATTTAGTTTAGGACTTTTGAGACAGTGTCTCAGATATCTGAGACTAATCCATAACTTACTATCTAGTCAGGCATGACCTTGAATACACTGACCATAATGATTTTTGCAAATCAGCACCCAGTGACATAGTCAGCAACGTTTGAGGACAGTCAGTGGACCCAGCTCATTTGTGTTTTCTTTAATATCAAAACAAATCCTCCCTACCTGGTCCACCCAGAAGGAAATTCCTTGTGAGAAGATAAAAGGCTCTTTTTCTTTTATGTGTCTGGCTTCCTGAGCCTCTAGATGGACTCTTGGTATTGACTAGCCCCTCTTGCTGAGTTGTGAAGCTTTTGTTTAACTTACTCTGTGAAACACTTAACAGGTTACATTTCATCCATTTATTATGCTCATGTGTCTGTGTTGTGGCCATGGTGGAGGCTGGAAGAACACTTGTGAGTCGGCGCTTTCCTCTCCATGCCCGTCCTAGGCATTACGTTCAGTCGTCAGTCTTGCTGGCAGGCGCCTTCACCCCTCTCTTGTCTTCAGTTCTTTCTATTGCATTTCTGGGGATGAGCTCGTTAACTGCCCATACTAGGCAGGTGCTGTGTTGCTGAACTGTAGCCCTAGCTCAGGCTGGCCTGGCCCCTGTGCTAGAGCCAAGGACGACCTTGACATTCAGATCCTTCTGCTGCTGAGTTCCCCTCCTCCCCAACAAAATTCCCACATGGGTCTCTGGAGCCACATAGCCCAAGTTCTTTTTGTGCTATATAAAGGACTGAATCTGGGGTCTCATACACACTATGCAAGTGCACTGCCATCCTGTATTGCTCTGCAGATTCTTTAGATTTGAGTTGTTCTGTTTTCCCATATGGTCACATGTAGCCCAGGCTGTTCATGAACTTTCGATCCTTCTGCCTCTGATGCCCTGCTGGTGACCTTTCCTGAGATTTAATGTAGATACAGTAGAGCATACATCTTAAATACACACCCTGATTATTCTGATAACTTTTTTAAAAAAGCTGCTGATTACTGTACAGATCAGCATTGAGGACTTTTTTTTTTGCCACCTCAGAAAGTTCTGTCATGTGTCTTCCTGTCTGTTCCTCCAAAGGAAGCCTCTGCACTGATCTTATCACAAGAGAGCTCTGCCTGTTCAGGTTCAAGTCCATCTGTGTACCAGCTTAGCCTGGGCCATGTGCCTGTGGAGGGTGCGGATGAGGTGTCCAGGACAGCTGTACTCATTTCTATCCCTACTTGGCAGCCCACACAGATGTCCATTCGCCAGACAGAACTGGACCAGCCATGTGATAATGCTGATGATGACCTAACTCAGGATGCTTTTGCCACCACATGTGCTGGTACAAGCTTTTAGCTCCATTCCCATTTCTTTCAGTGCTGGGAATCCATCCCAGAGCCTCCTGTGTTCTGGACAAGCACTCTAGCAACTGAGCCACCTCTCAGCCCTTGTTTTATTCTGAGACAGCATCTTGCTATGTAATCCCATCTGCCTGCCTCGCAGCCTTCAGCATCCTGGGTTGTTGGTGGTTGGTTGTTTTAGTTCAGACTGACCTTGAACTTGATCCTCCTTCAGTCTTCTGGGACTCTGCCACTGGAACTTTGTCTGAATACAATACATAGAGGGCCTAGAGTGCTAGAGCAACACTGTCCACACAGCTGAGTCCTCAGCCTTCTTCACAGACCCCCATAGCCTGAGGGCTGGGGGGAGGGCACCTGGGGTTGGTGTTTGCTGAGGTTTGCAACAGACAGTTGCTCACTGCCTGTGGTCACACTTCCTGCCTCTCTAGCAGGACCGTGTGAGTCATTTCTGCTGCTTTCTCTTCTCCCAGGGACTTCCTTCCACGTGGATCAGGAATTGTCACCCGGAGGCCTCTCATTCTGCAGCTCATCTTTTCCAAAACAGGTATGAGAAAAAAAAATCGAAACAAAAACCAAGAAAAAGTAAAAATAAAATATAAATAAATTAGTAAAATAAGGGATACAGAGGCAGCATAGTTCACAGACAGCTTGCCTAACATGTGGGAAGGCCAGGTTCCATCCTCAGTGTCGTATAAACCTGGCATGGTGGTGCACACTTGTAATCCCAGCACTAGGGAGGCAGAAGGATCAGAATCAAGGTCACCCAGTCTCCAAACAACAACAAACAAGTCCTACGTGGGGGGGCCATATCTGGGTGCAGATGTGGGCTTGGTTGGAATTGAAGGTCCCACATGTAAAAGGAAGATGAAAAACACCTCAGTGAACACCCCAGCTGCAGCCCTGAATCCCCAACTAGAACCATGGTTTTACTTTCTAAATCTTTTTTTTTTTTAATTGCTTCCTTATACTTCCTGTGCAGTCACAGACCAGGCCCAATTAAAAGAACCATTGTACCTGTCATTTGAGGCCCAGTCCTCATGCTGCCATGGTCTCATGCTGCCAGTTTCCCCCCACATGCCCTATAACTAAATTTACAGTTGGGGAAACTGAGGCATAGCCAGGTTCCCTGCATTTCTAGTGGGCCCCTGACTTGGGATGCTCATGACCTGACACCTTGCCTTCCAAAGGCCTGCTGTTTTTCTTTATCCTGGTCCCATTGAGACCTGGAGGTTTGGTGCACAGTGCCCCTTTGCGGGTTCTGCCTCATTAAAGGCTGCAGGATGGGCTGCAGTCAGCTATGCTGGGAAAGGCAACTCTTCCTGTGCTTGCTCTCATTGCCTGAAGGGCTCTGCCTCACCTTAGGAATCCCTGTTTTGCACTTTTTCATGGGATACCAGCTGACATTGTTGCTGCTTTTGGTCCCTGGCTACCCTGGGAAAGCCTGCCTGGGTAAGCAGGGAAGGGAGCCAAGCCTTTCCAGGTCCTGTGCTGGCTTCTCTGTGGGCACCCTGTCTGCAGAGTAAAGATAATGGGAAAACCAGTTAATCATGTGCCAGGCCCTTGATGAGCAGTGCTAGCTTTATACCTGCAGGGTTGGTTGCTTGTTTGGATAGCTGGTACCCAGACTGGCCCAGCTCTCTTGGACCTGAGCGCTAGGATGACAGTACTAGGTGAGCCACCATGCTTAATTTTTACTGTAGTCTGTAGTTTTAATTTATTTTTAAAATTTTTTATATCTTTATTTTTAATTGTATGGATATTTCACCTGCATATATGTCTGCTCACATGTGTGTGTGGTCCTTGTGGAGGTCCGAAGAAGGCATCAGATTCCCCGGAATAGGAGTTACAGGCACTGTGAACCACTGTATGGGTGCAGGGACTTGAACCAAGTACTCTTAACCCCTGAGCCATCTCTTCAGCCCCTTATTTTATTTGTTAAATCATGTGTATACATGTGTCTATGTGTGGGCGTGTGCATCTGAATGCAGATACAGAAACAGAGGCATAAAGCCACCAGATCTCCTGGAGCTCAGGTGGTCCTAAGCCACCTACCTGGGTCCCAAGAACCAAGTTTGGGTCCTGTAAGAGCAGTGTACGCTCTTAATTGTTGATTTATCTGTCTAGCCCTCTTCTTTGTATTCATCTTCTTATTTTGTGTGTGTGTGTGTGTGTGTGTGTGTGTGTGTGTGTGTGTGCGCTCACATGTATGGAAATCAGAAGAAGACAGCTTTGCAGGAGTCCTGTCCTTCCGCCATGTGGGTCCCTGGGATCCAGCTCAGGTTGTCAGGATGGTGTCTTCCCTGCTGAGTCATCTTTCTGGCCCATTCACTATAGTTTTATGCTTGCTATTGCTAGATTGTTTGGAGACAGTTTGTTGGGACAGCAGATCAGCTGATTCCTACTTTGGAAGGCCATTGCTTTTGTTATAGAGGCTGCCACCAGTAGTGGTTCATTGAGCACTCACAGTTTATCACAGGCTGGTCTAGAGACTGAGTACCACCCTATGCTCCCAGGGAAAAAAGGTGCTGGGAAGAGGGGGAAGGTGACAGTCAGCATAGGCATCGCAGGAGCGGACAGTTACTTTGCGTGTTTCTGGAACTGGGGAATGCTCCTAAGGCTTTGGGTACGCTAGGCAAGTGCTCCAAGCTGCATCCCTAGCCCTGTTTGTTTGTTTATTTAGACTTGCTAGCTCTGGCTGGTCTCCACTTGTATCTGGGGACAATCTTGAGCTCTTGGCCTTCCTGCCTGCCAAGTACTGGCATTTTAATTATGCACTACCTACCTGGTTTATGGGGTGTTGGATGGATCCCAGGACCCTCATGCAAACTAGCTTAGCACCTTGCTGAGCGATATTCCCAATCTCTCCAACTGTGATTTTTTTTTAGCTTCTCATTTTGTAGGCTAGGTAGACTTTAAATTCACTCTGTTCCAGGTAGGCCTTGAACTTTTGATCCTCCATTTGCAAACTCCCTGATAGCTGGAACAGCATACCTCAAGGCCTGACTGGAATGTGCAGGGAAGAGGGGGTGTTGGTGCCTAACAGACCTGGTGTGTATGGAGGGAGGTTCCTGGGCTGCCAAAATCTACTGGAAACCTGAGGCTCTGTGGGTCTGGGTAGGGTTGAGGGAAAGCCCACAAAAGGAACCACTGAAATGGGGAATGCCTGCCCAGAGCTGACCTTCGTAAAGGGCCAGATCAGTCCCTGACTTTCCTCCCTCTTGAAGGGAGCCCTAACTTTCCCCCTTCTTGCCTGAGTCCCAAAGGAGGGTTACTTAGATCCTTGTTGTGGCTGCTCTTAGGGATGTGGCCAGGCACATGCGAGGAGGCTGGAGCAGGCTACTAGGTGTGACTATTTAGGGCAGGATGACTTTTGAGGTGTCTGTTGGAGAGGCAGCCTTTGCGTTTCTTTCCAGGTGTGTGGTCGTCTCCCCAGCCTGTCCACTGTGCTCAGCCGGGCTGGTTAGAGAGTGGATCTGACTTCAGGTGTGCCCTAGGCCAGGGTCCCTGGGAGCACATTCTAAGTCATAGCAATAGTGGGTAGAGAGGTGGGAGAGGGGTAGGTGAGCCCTAGAGATCAAGTTCCTCACACTGATGCTTGGGACCAAAGCTGCAGAGCCAGCCATTTGGACTGACCTGTGTTCTCCATACCCCAGTGACCGCTGCTCTTCTAGGTTCAGGAATCTAAAGATAGGCTTCATGACCAGACCAAGGCCCTCCCCTTCAGAACTTTAGACACCCAAGTGTCTTGTGGCTTCTTGTTCAGGCTGGTTTGCTGAGCCATGACTAGCAGCTAATGCTGTTTAAAAATTACCTAGGACCACAGGCTCCAGGAAGCCTAGTGGCCCACAAGTGAACCCTGCCCTCACCCAGAATTATCCTGCTAAACTGTGGGTACAGGAGTGGGGGAAGACTCCCATCCCATCCCCAACCTTCACCCTGACATTGGTCTGTGATCACTGTGCCAGAAAAGAGATCCCAGGACATGGTCAGAGCCCAGCCCCTCTTGCTCCCCAGAGAAGACAGCCATGCCTCCTCATTGCACCTCATACATCTGTGTTCCCACTCTGGCCCTTACCATGTCCCACGGGATTCCTTGTTAGATAAAACTGTACTATCTTGAGTCAAATTGAGTTTTGTTTGAGAACAAATCTCGTGTAGCCCAGGCTGGCCTTGAATTTGCTTATATCTGAAGCTAGTCTTGAACTCCTGATCCTCTTTGCTCTACCTCCAACATCCTGAGATTACAGATGTGCCTCACTATGTCCAGCTGTGTTGTTGGTGTTCTCCCTGTGTCTCTTCCTCACTAGAACAGGAGATACACCGAGGCAGGGGGATGCTGAAATACTTTGCTATCCTTTCTTTCCTGACACCCCTCTTGGGGCCTTGAATCCTTCGTCCGTTCTCCATCTGCGTGGTCTAAAGACTGGAAAGTGCATGGAATTATCCATTTCCTATCCAGTACCTCCTTCGCTAGGCTGTTGGCCATGGGGGCCCTGTTTTGAACCTGTGTCTTCAAAAGGACTGGTGGAAGACCAAGGCCTGGGTGGTCATCGGTAGCATACAAAACCGTACTTTGGGGTGCTTCTTGGTCTAAGAAAAAAACAGCCTGAAGCAGGTGTGGCTCAAGTTGGGGCCTAGTTGGACCGACTGCTCCAGAGTAACCGTCTATCCTAGACAAGAAGACAGTCCCTGTTTTCCCAGACCAGAGGTGGAGCAGATCTAGTGAGTACTGTGCTAATGCTCCTGCCCCTGGCTCTGAGTAGCCTGTGTGCATACATCCTGTGCGCTGTTTGTTTTTGAGGCAGAGTGTCACTTAGCCCAGCCTCAAACTCACTAAGTAGCTGAAAGTGACCTTGAACTCCTGATCCTCCTTTCCCTACCTCCCTAGTGCTGGGTTGCTGGAATGTGCCACCACATAGGGTTTATGTAGTGCTGGGGTCAAAAGGCTCTCTACCAAACTGAGTTTTATCTAAACCCACTCCTATTCTTTTAGGTTTATTACTTTAAAGTGTGTACATGCATGTGTGGATGGATGGATGGATGGATGGATGGATGGATGGATGGATGGATGGATGGGTATGGATGTAGATGCCTGAAAATTCAGAGGTGTTGGATCCTTTGGAGCTGGAATTATAGGTGTGAGCTACCTGATGTGGGTGTTGAGAACCAAACTCAGTCTTTTTCAGGAATAGCACTCTTGGCTCTGGAGCCAACTCCAGTGCCCTCTTGGTTTGTTTGTTTGAGACTGGAACTTACTACCTCACCTGGGCTGGCCTTCCATTCATGCAAATCCTCTAGGTTGACAGATCCTGTTTGGTTGTTGGGTGTATCCAGGGGTCTCCAGAGTGTCTGAATCCCCAGGTATTTTTGTCCAGATATGCCTACCAATGCTAGACCTAAAGTAGGCAGATGTAGTGGTCCTGGGCATCAGGAGCTGGCTTCGTTTTTTTGCCAGACTGTGGGTGAAGTCTCACTGCTTCCATCTTCTAACACCTACATACATCTTAGGAAGCAGACCCAGATGCTGGAGAATGTAGTGACCCACACCCAGCCCTTGTTTATAGCTACATCTAGGCAGACAGAAGCTCATTAGAATTTCCGGGCTGGAGAGATGGCTCAGAGGTTAAGAGCTTTGGCTGCTCTTCTAAAGGGCTGCGTTCAATTCCCAGCACATGGTTCAGAACCACCTGAAGGCTGGCTGGCCCACCAGGATTAGCAGTATGACTGCTGACCAAGGCCCACCTATGGTTTCTTCCCTTATCCCTGCTGTGCGCAGGGCCTTAAGTGGGGCTTGTGTAACCAGCTGCGAGCCGCTGGGAAAGCCTTGTGCAGGGAAGGGCCTGGAGGAATCCACTCTGCTTCCAGTGGGTATGTGACTGTCAGAATGCTGCAGTATTGGCACAGGGACCAGAGGACTGGCTTTGTCACCATGGGGACATGGGGACCTGGATTGGCAGAGCTGGCAGTGGCTTAGAGGTGTGGCCTAGGCTGTTTAGAACCAACTGGCAGGCAGCTCAGCCTTAAGGCATCCAGCACATTCTTTGATTTAACATTTGAGCATGTGCATTAACGGGGAACTTATCTGAGGCTCTTTGCCTTGGACTAGCTGTTTGAGGTAGGCTGACTGGCGAGTTAGGCCTGTCTTGGTCTCCCCAGCCCTGGGGTTACAGGCGTGCACTACCATGCTTGTCTTACTAGTGTGAGCTCTGTGAATCAAATGCGGGTCCTCATGTTTGCATTGTAAGCACTTCACTGACTGAGTCCTCAGCCTTGAGAGGTTCTTTTTTGTTTTTTCAAGACAAGGTTTCTCTGTTTAACAGTCCTGGCTGGCTGTTCTGGAACTCACTTTGTAGACCAGGCTGGCCTCAAATTCACAAAGATCCTCCTGCCTCTGCTTCCTGAGTGCTGGGATTAAAGGCGTGCGCCACTACCACCCAGTGAGAGGTTCTTTTTAAGGCAAGTCTTCACTGCGTAGCCCAGGCTGGCCTCTAACTCATGATCCTGCCTTTGGTGACTGGACTGCTCAGAGCTGTAGGTGCTGGCCGCCCTGATAAGCTTAAAGCAGGCATTTATGTCAAAGTTGCTACGTGGCTTATATGAATGTCATACCCTCTCTGGAGTCTCTTGTGTTAAAACAGAGCCCTCTCCCCCAAGAACTTTTTCACATTGCTCCTTTGGGTCCTCTGCTCCCTAAGTTGCAGAGATGCTGGTTGCCAGTCTTTCTGTCCTCATAGAGATTTTTTGGGACATCTGCTCTGCTGATGAAAGGAGCTCAGGCCCAGGTGAGGCCTCCAGTGCTGGTTAAGCTAACAACTGTGGCAAACACTGGGCACCTGGGTAAAGATGGGAAAGGGTGACTGGCAGAAAGGCCCTGCAGGGAGAGGAGGAGAGGAGCCAGATCCGGCTGTGGCCCTGCTTCTGCTACCTTACCCTGCCACCATCTCATACTTGCTGACTGCCTGATCAGGAAGAGAACTGATGTTCTGTGGGGGCTGGGCGACTGATCCATTTTTAGTGGCAGCTGCAGGAAGAGTGTTTCCGCTTGTCCCCTGGAGGGCCAGAGAAAGGCTGCCCTTGGGAAGTGGGTCAGCTGATAATGTGTCCCAGAGCCTCCTGCCCACACCCTCACTCGTCCTGCTGTTGGGTGGCCAGCATTTATGCTAGACACAGACTTGGGGTCCTGCTGAGGTCATTGAATTTGAGAGTCACTACCCCTGCCAGGTGGTCTAACCCTGTCTACCCAGTCCCTGTGCCATCTCTGAGCTCCTACGTTCTCTGCATGTCTGTGAAATGGGCATTATGCTTGTATATCTGTGTGCATGAGTGTGCACATGTGTATTGATGTGCACCTGCACACGTGCAGAGGCTAGGTGCAGAGGCTAGAGGAGGAGGCCTGCCTTGAACTCACAAGAGATTTTCCTGGCCTCTGCCTTCTGAGTGCTGGGATTAAAGGTGTGCACCACTATGCTGGGCTTGTTTTGTTTTTGCTAGGCTGGAAGCTAGCAAGCCCCAGTGAGCCTCCTCTCCCTGATGCCCTTTGGAGCTGCAGCTTATAGGCATTTGTGGGGACACCTGGCTGGTATGTGGGTGCTGAGATCCAAATTCCCATCCTCATGTATAACACCCGGTTCTGTGTTACCCTCTTGGTACAGTTCACGCGCCACTGTACCTTACGCGAGTTGGGCAAGGGCCTTGAGATTGAAAGAACACACAAGAGACCTGGGTCATTCGAAAGGAGATCAGCCGAATCCCGTTTATTCAACTTTGGGGAAATCCTTAAATACCTAGCTGCTGCACAAGGAATGCCTAGGCAGGTGGGAAATTGCCACATCCAAGATGGAGTAAACAATGCTCTACAGCTAATCACCAGGCAGGGCAGAGGGAGCACCTGTACAGAATGTTTTAGCTGGACCCCAGGAGCAGGGGTAGACCCAGGCCCTACACTCCTGTTTATACTACGAGGGCTCCTAACTTCTGAGTCATCTCTGGCTAAATGCTTTATTTTTCTTAAGGCAGGGTCTCATGTAGCCCAGGCTGGGCTCCCATTCCTAACCCTCTGCCTCCACATCTCTGGATCCACGATAACAAACCCTTGTTACCAGCTGTGTTATGACGTGCTGGGGTCTCCCAGGCTTCCTGCATGCCTGCTGAGGGTTCTGCCGAATGAGCTGCTGAGCCAGCTCTACCTGTGGAGACTTTTCCCCACCCAGGCCTCTGGTCACAAGCTCCTTGTGGCTGCTCTTCTCTGAGGCCACATGCCTTGTGGTTCTGTGATTTGGACAGTCAAGTTATTTTGGTTTGCTCCACACAGGACCCATCCTGGCTCCTCTCTGTAGGGTGCCCCGCTGCCCCACAGTATTACCTAGAGTGTGTCATGCAGACTTTGAGAATGAGTGTTGGTACTTCCTCAGCCTTTCCTTGACAAATTCAGGCATCCAGACCCCAGCCTGGCAGCTGATGCCTGCAGTCCAAACACAGCACCTGCTTACAACACCTGCTTATCTTGTGTTTTGTCAATATATCCTGTATGGCTCAGTTTGGCCTTCATTTTATTATCCTTCTTCCTCAGTCTCCTAAGTGCCTGGATCCCAGGTGTGTGCTGCAGTATCCAGCTCTTCCCTGCATTTGGGAGCCCGAGGCAATGGATCTCAATTGTCAGTCCTTCCCAAACTGTGCAGTGAGCTCCAGATTAACCTGGGACCAAATCCCTTTATCAAAAAGAAGAAAAAGGTCTGTCAGTGAGGGGGTTTGTCACAAAATATGAGGACCTAAGTTTGTCCTCCGTACCCTTGTAAAAGGTCAGATGTTGGGTGCCCTACAGTGGTGGAGATGGAAGGAAGGGTTGCTGCAGCTTCATGGCCAGCCAGCCTAGCCCAACTGACAAACCGTGGGCCCTTTCAGAGGCACTGTCTAAAAAAGTAAGGTAGAGAACAGTCGAGGAAGGAAATCTGAGGTTAGTGTCTAACTGCCACACACATGCGTGCATATGTGCATGAGTACTCATACACAAAAGTAGAATTTAAAAGGAATGACGGGCGGTGGTGGTGCACACCTTTAATTTCAGCACTGGCGAGGCAGAGGCAGGCAGATCTCTGTGAGTTTGAGGCCAGCCTGGTACATAAAGTGTGTTCCAGGACAGCCAGGGCTACACAGAGAAACCCTGTCTCGAAAAACAGGAAAAAAAAAGAAGAAGAAGAAGAATGAGCCAGGTCTGGTGGTACACATCTTTAATCCTTGCAAAGACAGACAAATGTCTGAGTTTAAGCCCAGAACTACATAGTGAGACTGTCTCAAAATATAAGCCAACCTGATAAAATGAAAGAAAGAACAAATGCCATGTTCCTCAAGTTTCTGTAGGAACTGAAGCGGTTTCCTTTCTTCTCTGCCTGGTACACTGCATGTTCTTGGACACCCTCCACTCCAGCACACCACCTCTTTCTCACCTTGAACATCTTTTCTTATCTCTGTGTCAGAATATGCGGAGTTTTTGCACTGCAAGTCCAAAAAGTTTACAGACTTCGATGAAGTCCGGCAGGAGATAGAAGCGGAGACTGACCGGGTCACGGGGACCAACAAAGGCATCTCCCCAGTGCCCATCAACCTTCGGGTCTACTCACCACACGGTAGGTAGCTTGGATGGGGACCAGGGGAGCTGGTATAGTTTCTCTATCCAGTAGGATTGTTCTACTTCCTGAGCATCTGAGAGATGCATCATGACTAGGAAGCCTTGGGAGGGAGGTCAGGAGTGGGCATGGAGGCATGAACACATGCCTATACCTCAGTTCTGTGAGACAAGGGCCAGAGGACATATTAAGACCCCATCTCAAACAAAAGCAAAAAAAAAAAAAAACCCAGGACTTAGGTTAGAGCTCTGCCGTCAGGCACTTGTGTAGCAAGCATGAAGTCAATCTCCGGTACCACATTTTAAATAAAAATGGGCCAGATATGGCAGTGATTATGCCTGTAACCCCAGCACTCGGTAGGCTAAGACATAAGAACTTTGTGTTTGATGCTGAAAGTACCTAAATTTTTGTTAAAAGTTCTTCTTTTGTAAAAAGTAAAAGTTTTTAAAATTTTACTTTATGTGTATGTATATTGCCTGGATGTCTGTATACATACCACACACACACACACACACACACACACACACACACACCTAGGGTCTGAGGAAGTCAGAAAAGGGTGTCATATCCCATGGAACTGGAATTACAGATGGTTATGAGCCACTGTGTAGGTCCTGGGAGTTGTACCCAGGTCCTTTGCAAGAGCCAGTGTTTGGTAACTTTTTTCCCCTTTGTTGTTTTTGTTTTTGGTCTTTTTGAGACAGAGTTCCTCTGTGTAGCCCTGGCTGTCTTAGAACTCACTCTGTAGACCAAGTTGGCCTCAAACTCATCTGTGCCTGCCTCTGCCTCCTGAGTGCTGGAACTAAAGATGTGCACCACTGCCCGGCTCTTTTTTTTTTTTTTTAATATATTTCTTCAGGGGCTGGAGAGATGGCTCAGAGGTTAAGAGCACTGGCTGCTCTTCCAGAGGTCCTGAGTTCAATTCCCAGCAACCACATGGTGGCTCATAACCATCTGTACTGAGATCTGGCGCCCTGCTCTGGCGTGCGGGCATACAAGGAGGCTGAACACTGTATACATAATAAATACATTTAAAAAATATATATTTCTTCAGATTTTCTTTTCTGTGTATGTGTTCTTACATTATATGGTGCACATGTGTAGGTTGGAGGACAACTTATAGGAGTCTATCTCTCCTTCCACCATGTAAGTCCCAGGAATTGCTCTCAGGTTATCAGATTTGGTGATAGTAATCTTTACCCACTGAGCTATTTCACTGGCCCTATTTATTCTCTCTCTTCCTTCCTCCCTTCCTTCCTCCCTTTCTCCCTTCCTTCCTAAAACAATATATCATGTAGCCCAGACTGGCCTCCTTTTATGGTTCAGATGACCTTGAATTGCTCATCCTCAAGCTCCTATCTCACCAGTGCTAACATTATAGACGTGCATATGACTATGTGGTGCTAGGAATGGCATGCAGGGCTTTGTGGGTGCTAGATGTGCACTTTACCAACTGAACTCCAGCCCTGGCCCAAGCAACATAATAAGTTCACAGCCGGTCTGGGCCACACACCCAGACTCTGCTTCAAACACAGAGAAGGTGTGAGAAGAGGGACATGGCTCAGTGAGTGGAATGCTTGCTGTTGAAGTGCGAAGACTGTGTTCTCCCACAGCAGCTGCACAGCACAGCATTGTGTGTGTCTTTAATTCTGGAACCAGGACACTGGGACAGATAATATGTAGCTGAGTTGGTAGCTCTAGGTAGCTCTCCTCAGTGAGGAGACCCTTTCTCAAAAGATACGGTATAGGAGCCAGCAAAATAGCTCACCAGGTAAAGGTATTGGCAAGCGTGATGACCAAGTTCAGTTCCCAGGATTCATGTGGTAGGAGAGAACTGACTACTACATATTCTCTGACCTCCATCTGTGGACCTTGGTGTACATGTTCTCTCTCTCTCTCTCTCTCTCTCTCTCTCTCTCTCTCTCTCTCTGTAAAACTAATAAATTTTAAAAAGAATAAATATGGTGGAGAACAATACGTGGGTGAACTGACCTCCACATGCATGTGCCCATAAGGACATCCACCAAACATGCAAAGTACACACAGAAGTATGTTCTAGTAGGAGTATTAGGAGTGACTCCCCCTGGGAACTTGCTGATGTCCAACTAGGTCTCTTCAGGGTTGGACTGTGTGTATGCTCTGAACCCTTTCCAGTCTCTAACCACTTTTGCTTCTTGGTTTCGCCTTCAGTGTTGAACCTGACCCTCATCGATCTCCCAGGAATCACTAAGGTGCCAGTGGGAGACCAGCCGCCAGACATTGAGTACCAGATCAAGGATATGATCCTGCAGTTTATCAGCCGCGAGAGCAGCCTCATTCTTGCCGTCACTCCAGCCAACATGGACTTGGCCAACTCAGACGCCCTCAAACTGGCCAAGGAGGTGGATCCCCAAGGTGACCCTCCTGCCCCAGGGAAGCAACTCCCTCTAGTAGCTAGGTCCCTTCCTTAGTGCACTTTCTGGCCCAGGACTGTGTTAGAAAGAGGTCTCCTCGGATTCAGTATCCCCTGTGTGGTGGGCATTCCTTGCACCACTTAAAATAGACATTCATCGTTAAGTATTGATGGGGTCCACTCTGCCAGCCCTAGAGGGTGGTTTCTGCCTATGCTAGTCAACTTTCCATCAGTAGAACCAACACCCTGACATAGACATTGTCTTTTAAAGAGCATACAGGTTCATTTAGGCTCATTTCAGAGGTTCCTGGTTGTGATTGGTGGCCCATGAGAAGATAGCACTTCATTGTGCATATGTGGAGCAAACACACTCACCTCATACCCAGGGAACAGAACGGAATAAGAAAAGGGATGTGGGACCCCAGTGACCAGAAAGCCTCAGGGAGACCTTACTTCATAAAGGCAGATAGTCTAGCACATGAGCCTTTGGTGGATATTTAAAGTCTGAATTTTAGTCTGCAGCTGTTTCTCTGTGGTAGAATTGCCTAGGGACAGGCTGGAGGTGCAACCCAGCATAAGTGAGGATCTAGGTTCCATCCAAGGGCTCATCTGTTGAGAGCACTTTCTGCTGGGCATGGTGACACACACCTTTAATCCTAGAATTTGATAGGCAGAGACAGGTGGATCCCTGTGAGTTCAAGGCCATCCAGAGCTACGTAGTGAGACCCTGTCTAAAAAAGAGAAGGAAAAAATATTCGCTGTTTTTGCAGAGGACATGAGTTTGGTTTCTAGCATCTACATGGTGGCTCTCAACAATCTGTGATTTCAGTTCCAGGGAACCTGACGCCCTCTTCTGACCTCTGTGGGCAGCAGACATGCACATGGTGCACAGAACAGATGTGCACACCACACACTTATGCTCATAAAAATAACAGTTGATCTAGTAAAATTAAAAAGCCATAGCAAATATAAATCAGTAAGACACAGTCTTTAGCAGCAATGTTCGCAGGACACAGTTATAATTCCAGACACATCTGTCTACAGCCTACAGCCTTCTCTGTTGAGATGGGAACATTGGGGGCGGCCTGGGCTATATAGCTCATTTGGTGGTGTGCTTGCCAAGTACACAGAATCCATCACTACATGAACTTGGTGTGGTGCTGCACACCTGCAATACAAGTACTCCAGAGGTGAGGCAGGAAGATCAAGAGTTTATGCTCATCTTCTGCTGTATACGAGTTTGAGCAAGCCTGGGCTGTATTAGAACCTTTCTCTCTCTCTCAAAAACAAAAACAAAAAAAAAGGAAAAATAAAACCTGGGGAAAGAGCATGGGCAACCTGGCAGAGATTTTGAGAGGGAGGAGGCCTATGAGGATGCAGAGTGAGCTGGAAGTACAGAGCTTTGCTGGACCTCCTAAGGGGCCTCCAGCACATGTCGGTCATGTTACCCACTGTCCGCACAGAATGGGCATGGCCACGAGAAGGTATTAATGAGACAATGCAAAGTGGACATCACTATGGTGAGGTGCCATCTGCGAGCACACTGACCTCCTTTAGTTATTTTTTCCTTTCTTCTTCTTTTTTTTTTTTTTGGTCTTTGAAAGTACTCATGGTTATTATGGAAAAGAAAGTTACCATGGAAAAACCAGGAGCCCACAGAGCCCACCGCTTTCACGTAGATAGCCCTGGACAAACTTCTTCCTAGAGTCTTTCTTACACGTAAACCTAATTTATTTATTTGTGTGTGTGCTTGTTTGTTTACTTATTTGGTTTTTCAAGGCAGGGCTTCTCTGAGTAGCGGCTCTGGTTTTCTGGAACTTGCTCTGTAGACCAGGCTGGCCTCGAACTCACAGAGAACCACCTGCCTCTGTCTCCTGAGTGCTGGGATTACAGGCGTGTGCCACTATCACTGGGCAAACTGTTATTTCTTAAAGTGTGACAGTATGTCGTTATTTTTGTGTGTACATCTGTAATGTGCCCCTGTTTTGTGGTTGTTGCTTTGGTTTTTGTACTTTTTAATTTTTAATTGTGGTTTCAGAATGTAGTCCTGGCTAACCTGACTTCACTATATAGACCGAGGTAGTTCCAGTATCAGATATACCTGTGCTCCCAAGTGTTGGGATTGCAGGTTCACGGCACCACACCTGCCCTATTTTATACTGTAGTGACAGTGTGTTATTCTGTGTGGAAGCCCCATTGTTTAGACCCACTCCTTATCCTCACTGTGTCTGTTCTTATCAACAGATGTTTCCATTGGAGTCCATGCCACAGGCTCCTCCCATTCATTTCTTTTTGTAGTGTGACCTGTTCCCTCTTATCTCTATGAATATTTAAGGTGCCAGCTAGTGCAGTCACCTGTGATTTCCAAGTTGATACCAGTCTCTGTGGGCCTCTGTTGGCTCCTGATGTGTCTTGCTCATGTGGTACATACAGGTAACATGTACACATGTGTATCCAGCCTATGCCTGGGTTCCTGATGTGTCAGGTTGTTCTTGTCCACTTAGACAGAACCTTGTGTAGTGCAGATTGGTTTCAAACCCTGTGTAGCTAAAGATGACCTTAAACTTTTGATCCTCCTGCCTTTACCTCCTGAGTGCTAAGATTACAGGTATGTACCAACATGCCCATTATAATTGGGTCCTTAGGAAAGAGCTGCAGGCTCCTTGCCAAGTACTCTACAGCGTAGCTGGCACTGGGGAGGAACCTAGGGTTTGTGAATGCTAAAGTAAGTATGGTCCATGGAGTTGCACCGTCCTCTACCCTGGCTTGGAAGCTCAGTTTACAAACTGTTCGGGCGAATTGTGATCATAATCCCAAACTAAAAAATTTTCGGCTGCAGGGATTAATAGTAGAGGTGGGGCCCAGACGCACAGTGGATTTGGGGGATAGCTTTGCAGTGGGGTGTACTAACTTTGGCAGACGTGGTGAGAACTTTGGTGTGGTCCTTGGAGTGGAACTTGAGCCAGGTAACAAGGAGCCCTGGAAACAGTTGTTCTGGTTTAGGTTATTGTTGGGTGGGAATGGGTAGGGGAAGATTCTAGTTTCCATGATGCTCCCTGGTTCTGCTGTGACCCACTTACATTCTTGGCCACTGTTTATTGAGAAAGCACTTGCCTCTTGATATATTCATTGGAGCTGTAATTGTCACTTTACACTGCCAACAGGCATCCAGGCAAAACGACACAATGACTGACTTGTCTCTTGTCTCATCCCCTGTCAGAGGACCCCAGGGCCCTTCCTCATGACCCCTTCTGACTTCCGGGCTCTTTCAGGCCTACGGACCATCGGTGTTATCACCAAGCTGGACCTGATGGATGAAGGCACAGATGCCAGAGATGTCCTTGAAAACAAGCTACTGCCCTTGAGAAGAGGTATGCAGGGCTGGGGTGGGCCTACAGTGGTTCTGAATTAGAGCTGTCTTCTGGAACCTTAGGAAGCAAGTAGGCAGCCAAGCTTGGAGTATGCTATAATCCCAGCACTCTGGAGGTAGAGCTGGGGGTCAGAAATTCCAGGTCATTTTTGGCTACATAGCATGTTCTATGCCAGCCTGGGCTGCATAAGACCTCATCTCAAATAAACAAATATAAAATGCTTTTTCAAAAGGTTCTAGGAATGAATCTCAGTGGTAGAGCCCTTGCCCACCATATGCTAGGAAAAGGTTCATTCTCCAGCTACACAAACAGAACACAGCAAAGAGACTCATACTGCTTGATTCCGCCTATTGAAGGACCCTAGAGCCGTCATTTTCCAATATGTAGATGTTGATGCTTAGGCACTGGAGGATAGCCAGGCATGGTTACTGTATATATGGTGCTTTGTTTTGTTGTTGGTGTTTGAGACGGGCTGGCCACGAGCCTCCTGCCTCAGCCTCAGCTGGGATTCTAATATGTACTGCCATACTGGGCTTATTCACTTACATGTGCATATGTATTTTTTATTTTTGTTAATTTTCATTTTTGACATATTTTTGTTTTTAATGACTGTATGCCTAGTGACTATCATGACATAACGCAGGGCCACCTTTAACTTAGCACCTTCCTCCTCAGACTTTTCAGTCATGGACCACCAAGCCTGCATCTTATGGGTTTTACTTCATTTATTATTTGCATGTGGCTATGGGGTATGCATGATGTTTGTGGCGGGGAGGTGCCACAACTTGGGTGTGGAGGTCAGGAGACAACATTTTAGAGTCAATTCTCTGTCCATCACATGAATTCTGGGAGGTCAAACTCAGGTCATCAGGCCTGGCAGCTAGCCATTTTACTGCTGAGCCATGTGCTGGCTGTAGTGGGTTCTAATATGATAAAAAGTTAGGCTGTCTTCTCTTTACCTTGTTTTCCAGGGGTTTGGTGTTGATAGTGTTTTTGTTTTGGAATGTTTTTATGTCTTTATTTTTAATTTAATTCTTTTTAAACTCACTGTGGCAATGAGTTTGGGTATGTGCAGCCTTCTTGGAGGCCACAGGCTGAAGTTGGAGACTTCCATGAGCCACTGACTGACATAGGTACTGGGGAGGAGGAGTGTCCTAGTTTGCTTTCTGTTACTGTGATAGACACCATGGCTAGAAGCAACTTGAAGAGGAGAGGCTTTATTTGGCTTACAGTTTGCAGCCCATCATGGGAGGAAGCTGAGTCAGGAACTGAAGCATGGCCACAGGGAAACTCTTGTTGGCTTTCACCCTGTGACCTGCTCTGCCTACTTTCTTTGGGGGGGGGGGCGTGTTTTTGAGACAGGGTTTCTCTGAATAGTGCAGCCCTGGCTGTCCTGGAACTCACTCTGTAGACCAGGCTACCGTGAATTCAGGGCCTGCCTCTGCCTCCCTAGAGCTGTGATTAAAGGTGTGCACCACCACGCCATCTTCAGCCTGCTTTCTAATACTGGACCACCAGTTTAGGGGGGGGGCACTACTCACAGTGAGCTGGGCACTCCTGCAGCACTCATAATAAAGAAAATGTCTACAGGCCAATCTGATAGAGTTAGTTCCTCAGTTAAAGTTCCTCTTCCAAATGACTCTAGCTCTTAGTAATGACAAACACTACCCAGCACAAGGGGGAAGTGCTTTTAACTGCGCTTTGTCTTTATTTCCGTGGTGCTGGAGTAGGAGCCAGGGCTTTCCACGGTTGTTGAGGACTGTCCCTGTTGAGCTGTCCCTTCCATTGCTTTCCTATCCCTAGTGAGGTCTCCACCATTTGTGGGGCCAGTCTGTTTCTTTTACTGGCTGAGCTGAGCCAGGTCAGCACTGGGAGCACAGCTCTGTGTCCTTCCTGGTGTAATGCATACCTTGACCTTCTCTCTGTAGGCTACATTGGTGTGGTCAACCGCAGCCAGAAAGACATCGAGGGCAAAAAGGACATCCGGGCTGCTCTGGCAGCTGAGAGGAAGTTCTTCCTTTCTCACCCAGCCTACCGGCACATGGCTGACCGAATGGGTACCCCACACTTACAGAAGACCCTGAATCAGGTACAGCTGAGGTTTGAGGCTCCCGTGTAGAGTAGGGCAGTCTGCCATTCTCAGGCTCCGGCAAGGCTGTCACTCTCTCTTGTTATTCCCACCCTGCGTGTTTTTCATTGCAGGCCTGTTGAGGACTGGGTGAGTCATGAGCTGGTGTGTGACCATTTGAATCTCTTAGTGTCACTGTTGTTTTCAAGGCCACTGTAGTCTTGGGGTTGGTAACAGTCGTCCAGGCTGGTGACTGCAGCTAAGTGGGAAGATGTGCAGTGTGGACTGCTGGGATCAAAAACCCTTCCCAGCCTCTGAGCAAGCAGTAGTTGGCCCAGCTTCCCCATGCCTCCCTCCTCTTACCCACCAAGGGAGAATAGCTGTCCCTTCTGTTTCCTAGGGTAGAAGTCAGTGAGGCCACATGTCTGCAGCACAGGGTACATACCTTGTATGAAAGGGAATAGTCTCCGGGGACTGCATTGTTTTTCACAGTCATGAAACAGAAAACTGATAAGTGCAGACAGAGGCAGAGACCAGAATCCCCAGTGAGAGTGTTAGGCTCTGGCTCCATGCTAGAGCACCTGTCTGGAATCTACTTGTTAGGGGCTGGGAGTGTTGCATAGCAGTATAGTGCCAACCTAGCCTGTGGGAAGCCCTGGGTTCCTTCTCCAGCACCACATAAATCAGTGTTGTGCTGCATCTGTAATCCCAGCGCTCAGCTCAGATCAGGAATCCAAGGGCATCTCTTAGCTACATAATCTGGGATAAATGAGAGTCTGCCTGAATCAAAAAACAACAGCCAAGTCCCTCGGTTATGCATGGACTGGGGCAGAGGCACTGTGTACAAGGGCAGTTGTCCTTAGAAGGGCCAGTGTGCCAGCAGTAAACAAGCTATCAGATAAAGTCCATGTTAACTACAGCTGGGGATCACTGCAAGATGAAGCTCATTCTTAGAGCAACTGGAACAAGAATTGGGCAGTGTGTCTTGTAGGTAGGGGCCATTGGGCCTGGGCAGAGTGAGGAAGGACAGGTAGGATGGAAAACCCTCCACAGGCCCTGGGGCTGCTTGAGCCAGGTGTGTAGACAGGCCAGGCCTCTTGAATCGAAGGGTGTTTTGTGGGGCGCTGGTTGTCCCTGCTCCTCTCTGTAAGCCCAGGATTATGGTCCACAGGTGGCTCCGCAGGTACAGCCACCTGCCACTCATACCTAAGGACCTGATTTCAATCCCCAAAAGTCATCTATAGGTAGAAGAAAGCAGTGGACGCCATGAAACTGCCCTCTGACCCCCATGCAGGCATGTGCACTTCCCACCCCCACAATAATAGGTAAAGAAGAGTTGTAAGAGCTGTGAGCACCCAGCCTGCCTGAGCCCGCTGCTTCCCTTGAGAACAGCAGGACTTGAACTCAGCACAAGCAGGAGCCTCTTCTACTCCCCTCTAGTGTTGTGTCTTCAGAATCCTTGTCTTCTCTGCTGATGGAAATCCACCTGCTCTGACGTGCTTTTGCTCTGTCCCTTCCTCTCCCTCCCATCTCCCTGCAGCTGTGCCCCCACTACTTCTCAGGATACCTTTGGGCTCAGTTGGACCATCCACGGCACTGGATGTTGTTCGACATCTGCCTACGGGCTTTCTGCAGTGCCTTGTGCCATCCATCCAGCTTCTGTCCATGTCCTGATGTTTTTGTCTAGAGTTTTGTGGCTCTTGTTCGCTTGCACCCACAGCTCTGGGTGTTCTGGCTGACGCTTACCTGTCCCCTACAGCAACTGACCAACCACATACGGGAGTCACTGCCAACCCTGCGCAGCAAACTACAGAGCCAGCTTCTGTCCTTGGAGAAAGAAGTAGAAGAGTACAAAAATTTCCGGCCCGATGACCCCACACGCAAGACCAAAGCCTTGCTGCAGTATGTACCCCCTCCCTGCCTTACCCCATTGCCTGTCCAATTCATTCTGTTCTCCATTCAGTCCCTGTCCTAAGCTGCCCACGACTGGGGGTCAGACTCTTGACATTTCAACATGACATTGCCATTGTAGGGCGCATGCTTAGAAACCATGCACTCGCATTACAACAAAAGGTGAAAAATCACATTGTTTTAATAAATTATCATTTTGTATTGTTCTGCATTCATTGCTGTAGTTGGCTGTGACTTGTGGCATGTAAGTTGGACACATCGAAGTTGGCATATTATTAAGACCATTATCCCAGCCCTTGGGAGGTGGAAGCAGGAAGATAAAGCAAAAGTTCCTGAGCTGAGACAGTGGATCATCAAGTTAAAGTGCTGCCTCAAAGTCTGGCTCCAGCTCCATCCCTAGGATTGACATGGTGGAAGGAGAGAATCCACTTTGATGGTTCGTCCTCCACATGTGCACTGTGACACACATTTGTGGCTATTCAGAGAACTTGCTGCTCCTGCAGAGGCCTGAGTTCAGTTCCCGGCACCCAGATGGTAGCTCACAGCCATCTAGAACTGTAGCACCAGGGGGCCTGGTGCCCACTTTGTCTTCACTCAGACACATGTACATGTAAATAAAAATTGTTTGAAGCCAGGGACTGGAAAGGTAGCTAAATGGGTAAAGTTACCCAAGGACCTGAATTTTGGGTCTCCAGCGTCCTTGTAGGAAGGCAAACACATTAACACACATTTGTACTGCAAGCACTGCGGGTGGGGAGACAGATTGACCTTTCCTCACTGGTCAGCTTTAGGAAGACACTAGGAACACATGCACATGCGTGTGGTACAAGAGACCCTGTCTAATTAAAAGAAGAAGCACGAGAACAAGCAAATATGTTGTGATCAACTGAGTGTGGTGGCTGACACACACCTTCGCCACTTGGGACGCTGAAGGTAGAGGGGCTACTGAGCTCTGGGTTTGAGGCCAGTCCAGCTTTAGAAACAATCTGTGACATCAGAATCCTAAATGATTACATGCACCCTTTTATTACCCCCCCCTTTTTTGGAGGGAGTGCACGTTGTATAGCCCAGAGTGTGGAGGTCCAAGGGTGACATTGAGAAGTCAGTTCCTTCCTTGTATCATTTACTTCCCAGAGACTCAATGACAAGTGCCTTTACTCATTGAACCATATTCCATATTGCTGTCTACCATTCCCCATATATATATTTACACAAACTATCAATATACTACTTCTTATAGTTGCCAAGTTCCACAGTGTGTCATCCTGTTGGCCTGCTCTGTATATCCTGAGGCTCCCGGTACAGCTTATTCAAGCTTTTGCAAGCCTGTCCAGGGTGGGGCCCTGTGCAACTAGGGTAGAGAAGTAGCAGAAACTACAGATGCCCCTGGCCTGTCTGGGGGGCTGCATAGCTGTTGACCTCAGAATTCCATCTAGAAACTTGGGAATAACAGATCATTAGAGTCCAGGAGAACAACCAGGATAGTGTCCAGGGCTTGTTGGGTTTTCTGTTTTTGTTTGTTTGTGTTTGTTTTTCGAGACAGGGTTTCTCTATGTAACAACCCTAGCTGTCTTGGAACTAGCTCTGTAGACCAGGCTGGGCTTGAATTTAGAGAGATCTGTCTGCCTCTGCTTCTCAAAGCTGAGATTAAAGGTGTGTGCCACCATCGCCTGCTTATTTTACTTGTTTTTTAAAAAAACATGCATTTGTGGGGCTGGAGAGATGGCTCAGTGGGAAAGAGCACTGGCTGCTCTTCCAGAGACTGGGTTCAATTCCCAGCACTCACATACATAGCAGTTCACAACTGTCTAACTCAAGTCCAGGGGATCTGACACTGTCACACAGGCATACATGCCGGCAAAATACCAATAAATAAATCATTTTTTTTAAAAAAGACATGTACATTTGGGCTAGAGAGATGAATTAATCGTTAAGAGCACTGGCTGCTCTTCCAGGGGTCCTGAGTTCAATTCCCAGCAACCACATGGTAGCTCATAATCACCTATAACAGGATTTGGTGCCCTTTTCTGATATATAGGCACGCATACAGACAGAACACTATACATAGTAAATAAGTAAATCTTAAAGAAAAAGAACCATGTATGCATTGGCTGTTAAACAGTCACATACATTTATTTATTTATTTGTCTATCTATCTGTCTGTCTATCTGTCTATTTATTTGCTTTTGGTTTTTCAGGACATAGTTTCTCTGTAGCTTTGGAGCCTGTCCTGGAACTAGCTCTTGTAGACAGACCAGGCTGGCCTTGAACTCAAAGAGATCCACCTACCTCTGCTTCCAGGGTGCTGGGATTAAAGGAGTAAACTACCACCACCCGACTAAACAGTTGTAGTTAATTAAAAAAAAAAAAAAAAAAAAAAAAA